TCTGAAAGCCACTACTATAAAAGGAGACTGGTAAACTTTTAAGGAAACCATCACTATTAGTGTAGCAGTTCATATCCCTGTCCAGAAACAACTCTTCAGAGGAGCAAAAATAAAATAAATAAAATAAAATAATCATGAAAGCAACTAAACAAAATTACATGTTCAGTAAGTGTTGATGCTGCTAAGCCAGAGCTTCAAACAGAAGAGGGAGAGGAAGGGTGTTTCTCACCCCTGGGTTCCCAGTTCTTATCCACCTCAACCACCATGCTGCACCCCCAGCCTCTGACTCAGTCTCTTGACTGAAACTCATTTCTCAGGCCCAGCTCCCAGCCTCTTGTCCCTTGTCTGCTCAACAGCCCTCAGCTTTATTTTCCTGGCACATCATACAATTTCTCTCCTCCTAACTGATTTTGCAACTTTCTCAACACCTGTGTAGTCTCCATCTTCCCATTTCAACAAACCTGTCCTGCAATTTAACCTGCCTGGCTTCCTCCCTTAGCTAATTTCAGTTTTCCCTGGGATCATTGTTATTCAGCATCTTCCTTCCTTCCGACACCTCCCCAGCCTCATTATCTCTCCGTCACAGCCTCCTGCTGGTTCCTCATCCTCCTCACTAACTGTCTTTCAGTCTTGCTAGTGTTTCTTTACAGTTTCAATACAAGCAACCATTTCCCTCTGGGTCCAGATCAGCCTCGTTTACCACTCAACCTCCCATCCTCCTTTTTGTTGGACCAATCGACTCCCATTAGACCTCTGGGCCCAGATCCTGTAATACCTGTCTGAATTTCAGTGGTGCTCCACAACTATCTGGGTCCCCTAGATGAGGTCCATGACCACACAAAAGCTCAAGGAATGAAATGTAACAGACAGAAAAGGACTTCCTGAAGAATTACTTTTACGTATGCATGAATTGCAAATTTTCAGTGGATTATGGTTGTATTTGGCATATATTGATAGCAACAGTTAAAAATGTATCCCTGACAAAATCTAGACCTGTTCAAAGAAAAGATCAGAATAGCCCACTCTGAGTGAAAAAGCCTTACTTTTTAAAAAACTAATTTTTCCAGGGAGGCTCTACAGTCATATTCACTTGCCTTCAGGGTTTAATTTCAGACAAAAGCAGATAGCTGGCATAGATCTCAGCCAAAATGATTAGTGTTTTGGAAAACTTGCAACCCACTTGAAACACAATTTTACATGGGAAATGCTGAGCAAACTTAGCAATAGACTGCGCTATCAGTCCTGTCCATAATGTCAAAGCTCAGACTCTGGCAAATATTAAAAATTTGACAGCAAAGGCACAAGGATATATCTAACTATAAACATTATTCCCTAGGTAATGTACACAGCATATGAAAATCTCTCTTCCTAATGCAGAAAAACTACTTTTAAAGACAATATTAGCACTGTTTCTTGTCAGTGGTGGCACGTCAAGAAAATTGCAACAAAACCCAGTAAGCCACATAAGAGATTGATTTCTAGTGTCCAGCTTATAGATGCAGAGAATTCTCCACAAATATTATAAAAGCAAATCTGACACCTTTGTGCATATGAATCCTCATGCTGTTTTTTCAGAGAAGCTGTTAGAAGTTAATTATTTCAGTTTAGACTCAGACGCCCAAGAAAAGAATAATTTCTGAAAACTAGAATAGTTTCTGCTTCTTACAGTTCCATGTATATAAACCTGCAATAAACATCACCTTCTTCTATGCTAAAGGCAAGATTATTTATTGATGTTTAAGGTGTGCAGGACAGAGCAGTGAAAAAGTCTGTATATAACTAGGTAAAGACACAAATAGCTGGAAAAAAAGTTTAATTTCTCAAGAATTATTTTTTCTTGGAGAAAGAAGTATGTTACATGCAGGTATGGTCACAAGTATCACATTAAAAGGGTTAGCTTCCAAATGTACCCCAAATATACACAAAAGGTTTTCCCTGCTCATCACATTGTATCTCTTGTTAGTCTTTACCTACACAGTTCTGAGTGTGAATATGCTCCTTTGTGTCAAGTCTGTAAATACATATGGAAAAACAGTTTTTTATTCTCACTTAGTTTGTACACCTGGAAAAGAAAACATGAATCTGTAGAAAGAATAAACTAAATGTGCAGCCTACCACACAGAATCACCGAATGTTAGGGATTGGAAGGGAACTTGAAAGATCATCTAGTCCAATCCCCAACAGTTTATAATCCCCAATCAGTTTACAATCCCCACACAGTTTATAGTTGCACTGTGTGCCTGTTATTTTTTCCACAAATGCTTTCCCTTAGAACTAGCCTGTCACTAATTAAAACTTGGTTACTAAATAAAGGTAGATTCTGCTAATATTCATTTATCAACACATACACTCAAACTAATTATCAACTGCACAACTTTTACATTCCAAACCAACAGCTGAGGTTTGCATCTTTTTTTTTTTTTTTTTTAATTACAGCAAGATGAACAAACAGACCTGTCGAGCCTCATGCTAATAGAATTGTTCCAGCCTCATGCTAATAGAATTGGAGATGCATTTGCACAGGTTAGGCAAGCAAAACTAACAGCCACCTGCCTATATTTGTACAGTACCAAAAGCAAGCTCTGCAAATACTGTAGAAACCTGCTGCATCTTTAGCACAACTGCTGCACCAGTGGAATGGTGCTCCTATATGAATAATGCAGTGTACTGGCTTGAGCGCATGCAAAGGTTCAGGAGGAAGGAAGCTGTAAATATGCATGCAGAAAATACAGGGGGAGGTATATGAAAAGATATGACAACCATATACAGCTAAATCTTAAGATTTTCATTGCATTTCAGGTATTATTAGATGTCAGTCTGAATGTGCTCAAACAATTTACACTTCAACTGAGCTGCTGAATAATGAGCCCCTGCTAGCTACAAGGTGACTGACTCACACTGGATAGCTTGTTTGAGTGAGAAGATAACTGCATGTTTGATAGGCCGAAGAACCACGTCTTTCTAGAATAGCAGAGACCTACTTTATCCTGTGATTTGCTGTCAGTATCTAGCAAAACTGGCCCTGGTGGTTTGCTTATTCAGTAACCACCGTTCTGTTACTCTAAAAATTAGATGAGTTTTTAAAGAGACCATATGTGACTAATCAACAGCCCAGTCTGCCTTTTCACAGTCCCTTCCCTGTAGGTAAAGCCAGGAGAAAAAAGCAACAGAAAATGTGTAGTGACTACTTGAGCAAGTTTTCTGCTGTCGTTGCAGAACTGCAGAAGCCCTACCCCACTACTGCAGGCAGCACGAGTGTGTGGGCCTGGACAGGCCTCGCTCTTCCCTGCTCCTCTACTCCCCAGCTCCACTCAGGACATACTCTTTAAGGGGGGCCTGACCCTTAGGTGCAGCTACACATTTTCTGATAATTAAAACCCATGGGAGCTGTGTTTCCATGTTTCCCCAGTGAGGACTCAGCTCTTTGCATCATTAGGTCCTACGCGTGTGCCGAAGCATTTTCCTTCAGGAAAGTACTCGGAATAAAATGACAGGTTTCTGTGCTTGTTTTGCCTCTTACGTGAAAAGCCCAAGACAGATTATTATTTTAGGACTGCATATCAGATCTCTTTGACAGTTGCCCTGATTTATTAACCTATAACTCTGGGGTAAGGGAATTGGATACTTTTATCAGATGTCAACAAGGGCCAAGCATCTAATATCCTCAGGCTCTTCTGAAACCCCAATGTGCATCTCTCAACTAATTGAAAGCAGATTCTCTTTTACTGTAACTCGTTAGAAACATTTCTTTTTTTCTCTGTACAAATATTCCTCTGGGCTTCATTTTATCACCACATAAAATATATACCAGTAAATGACAGTAAGACAAAAAAATCCAAATGCATACAACAAAAATACAGTGATAAAATTAACAGTGAGGAATCGCATTTGAAACACAAAATTAGCATCAAAGTTCAATGCAGGCATGCTACATAAGTTAAGATTTACTTCATCATGAGAAGACCAATCCTATAATGAAATCTTTAAAACTCCAACACAACACACACCTGCTTCTCCACAAAGTCATTACAAAGGACATTCAAAATTATTCATGAGTTTCTGACATTCTGCTCATATTTAGAAAGAATGTTTTTTTAATAGCAATTAATAACTACCAAACTAGGACTGCTTCCTTTACCTTACGTTGTGCATTACAATTAATGAACTCTAAAAGTACAGGCTCCATGCCCTGAATAGACATGCCCTGAACAGTAGTCTCACGCGGTCATTTTTGCTCCATACCACTGACTATTACAGCCTTTAACAATCCTGAGACTGCTGGGGGAAGAAAAGATACCTCCAAAAAGACAAATAAGCTGCATTATGGATGAATTACTTCTTCAAAATGGCATCAGACTGTAGAGAGTCCTCAGCACTGATGGTTGGTAAGAGTACATCCCTCAACTCTTGCTTATGACAGAATTAAAATACAGAATTTTAATAGGTACTATCTTCAATAGCCTTATGCTATTGACTTTCTGTGCCCATAAATCTATCCCTCCCCAGCTGTTGTGGGTATTGCAGGATATTATGTGCTATCTGCTTGTAATTTCTTCTGAAGTTTGCTTTTTCTCATTTAAATAGCAGACGAGAGGGACTTGGTGATTCTCACGACACTATCAGGGAGTTTCTGTAGCAGTTTGTTTCCCAACACGTTTGCTCAAAATTATCATTATATTTTTAAAATAAGAAAACCAGAACTTACAACCTTGAAACAACAAAATCATCACTGAAATCAATAAAGACAATAGCTTTTTTTTTTTTAATTAAAATTAATGCAAAGCATAATCATTGAGGATAGGTATTTCAACAAAAAGAAGTAACATTTATAGCAATACACTTGTGACAAAACAGAAGAGTCATCAAAACTCTGGCAGTTCCTCTGCCAGCAAACTATCAGAAAAAGAAAGCTCTACATCTCCACTTGTTGGCTTCAAAACAATACTTTTTTCCTTATTATATGCTCAAAGGGTATAGGAGTACTTTTTCAATTAAATTACCTGTCCCAGTGATCTCCAGTCTAGGCTGGCACTCCCAATGTACACATGTTGTTTATCAACAATCCAGAAAGATGACTGAAGGCGACCTTCATTATATGCTGACATGTTCATATACAGCACTTCAGCACCTAGAGATTTACAGACACAACAACAAAAAACACTGTTTAGAAGTACAGACGTTACAGACATTAAAGAAAAGAAACTTCACATTTCAGGGTCTCAGCTATCAAAGCTACAGAGAGACATAATTAAGCATATCATTAAGGCTTAAAGTCAATGATAGACAGTCCTACTGTCACACTATTCCAGACCTTAATTAACATATATTCCAGAAAAACAGGTGTAGGGAACATCCCCATGTGTTATTCTCTTTGCTTATTTACCTCCCTTTTTAGAATCATGTAATTGCTATTTTTTCAAGCACTGTATGCTCCTAAAACCATTTTTAAAGGTCTATGCTGCAAGTCTAACCTGCCACATATTATAATGACCTCTGAGGTATAAAACCCAACTATATCCCCAACCTGAAAAGCAAACTCTTTTCCCTTGCCCTGTGCAATGCTCTGAGCACAAAGCCTGCAGTGGTTTACCACATGGAACAGATGCCAATGAGAGGACCATGGGAAATAGTAAGGAGTGAGGAAAGAAACAGAGACCTGAAGTATGCTGAAGCTATGTTCAATTCTACTTATATGTGACTTTGAGCCTGGCACTTTGAATTGCATGGTTTTCTTAAGGATTAAAGTCTGCTGAAATCAAAGGACCTACTTTCAGGGGTAAAAGCTGTTGGCTCCATCACATGAGTAAAAATGTCTGAATCAGCCCCATCAGTATGTTTGCAGCACTAAGCACAGAATATATTTAATATTAGATGAGTTCATGGGATTTCTCACATCATTATTTTTCTTTCAGTGCTCCAGTGTTTGTAAGATTAGGTGATTAATCTGAATTAATTATTGCTGAAGGTAATTTAAAGTAACCCAATCTCTTTCTAGTTGTCACAGTAAGTGGGCAAGAGAAGTGACAGTAAAGCAGACTGGAGGGCAGCTATCTCCCATTAAACATTCATGTGATCATCAGTACCATGAATTCCCATAATGTCTGAATATGAATCACAACTTTAGAATTACAGGATACTTCAGGAACTAAAATATTTTTTATTTAACCTCTTATTTCTGACCTTCTAAGAAATATTTGACTCTCAATTTTAAGCTGTAATTGCCAGTGATAAATATTTATTTTCATTATTATTATTATGAAAATTACAAATTTATCTTGAATGAATGATTCCAGAAGTTCAGGCATCAGGAAAAAAAAAAAAAAAAAAAGATATAGTAAGGCACCAAACTTGCAACACAGGACTTTAAGCAAGAAACAGGTCACTACAGTTACATTTCATGCTACCTGGCTACATTTCCAATTTTTTTCCAGGTATCATCTAACCACATTCATCTAACCTTGGAAATGAAAGGCTGGAAACAAAGCATTACTCCTTTGAATGTGTTGCTGTTTCCAATCCATGTGTTAATGAGTAGAACTGTGCTAATTAATGAGATAATGCGCGTGAACTGGTAAAGAAACCAGAAAACACTAGAGCAGGTGTTAAATGGTTTAAATTGTTTTCCGATGAATAAACAAAAGCAACTCCTCCTACTAGCTGAGGAAAACTGTTCTGTAAGGCACTAAACTTCTAGCTGATTATCTGAAAACTGTGTTTAAAAATCAAGTTTAACATAGCAGTTTGCCTTGATCATAATTTTTTTCCATACATCCAATTTGCAACATTAAACAGTATAAGAATTTAACACCCACAACACACCTACAGCAAATAGATTATAAATGAAGTGTTAGCATTTTCATATAGGAAAGGTAAAACTATCTGCACCAACAATGATCTTTCTTCTCATAACTGAGTGCCTAAAATAAAAACATTTAAAAATATTTTTGAAATATTCAATGCTGAATAAAAATGTTGATTGCCAAAGTTACAACAGGAAACTATTTTACCAACAATATTAACATTAAAAATAGCAGCTATCTTCAGTAACCTGACACAAAATTCTAGGTATAAGACCCCAGGGTTTGGGAGCAGTTTACATATTGACTTAATTGCTAGGAGACTATCACTCTAAAATATAATCTAGACTTCAATTACCAAAATACTGATTATAGCAGTGCAGGTGATACTGCTAGCATACACACCATTAAAAACAAAACGTGAAACCCAATTTCTTTTTCTTCTGGAAACAGCCAACTCATAAGGCTGAGGAAACAGTATCTCCAAGTTAATTAAAAAAAGAGAAGTCGTGTTGCAGGGAGCAGCTGCTGTATAGCCTATTAATGAGCCCTTAACTTTTGATGAAAGGAAACATGCATCAGTATTGATAATTGCCTCTGTTCTAGAAGCTCTTGAGATGTTTTGTTAAAATAGGCTTATCAGGCCTTCAACACAATCCATCATCCCTAGCGTGGTCCAGTTCCCATGAGGAAATTAAATTGGAGTGATCAATATGTGAAGCCATAACAGAACTCTTTATCATGCTGCAGCCTCAATTACACAAAGCTGGGGGTCTAGTGAGTTCAACCAGAAGGCACAATTTGTAGCTTTGATTGTTAATGTAGATGCCAGACTCTTAGAAAATAAGTCCAACAGTTTTGGTTCACTGAACATTAAAGTGAAGGATAAGAGCTTAGAGAAAACCAGTGCTGTCACTCAAAATTTGACTGGATTTGCCTGTCCCATAAAATCGTGCACTGTAAAGGCTGGGCCAGAGTGCTCGTTTCTCACAGGAAGAAAGTATACTGCAGGGATCAAAGCGTGCTTGAAGTGACAGACATTTCTCTGAGTACTTCTTCTTGTAGGCAGAGAGGTTTGCATCCTCTAACAGGCTGGGGCACACAGCAGGATCCTGACCTTGCAAGCCTGGGCCTTCTCAGGCCATGGGCGGGTGGGTGAGTGGGGGAACGGAGCCCCTGAGGGGTGCCAGGCTGCTGCTTGGCCTCTTGGTCTACCACACAAGGGGGGAGAAATAATACAGAAGGCAACAGGAGTACTTCAAACAGACTGACCTTTCATCCGTTTCCCAAAGGAATCCCAAAGCAGAAGCACGGCACAAGAAAATGTGATTTACCGTTTCTAGCCTTGCAAAGTGCTGTTTGGTCTAGCTGCCTGCTGCCAGGTAGCTTGATAACACTAACAATGTTATCAAGGCCACAGGGCAGGCTTGACTTCTAAACAGGAGCTTAAGGCCAGGACTTTTTCTGCATACTTGGGTCCAAACACTCTAAGCTGTTAGCAGGAGACTTTAATCAGGGGCTTACTGTGCAGATGCTCTATTAGGGAAAAACCTTGTGTCATCCAGAAGCACATCTTGGTGCAGCTGTGTTGCAGCATATGCTAGCTGTGGAGTTTACTATTGCTGTGACAAGGTCACCAGGCAGCTACACAAACTGGGAGACCTGCCCAGGAGGCTGCAGCAGGCCAGAGCTCACAGGGTTGCCGCTGCACCTCCAGCGCCTCATTTATGAGGCTGACTGCAGGAGGTGCAGCCTCTGGTCCCACATCCGTGTGCACCCTGGAATAGTACCAGCTTGTCCTGGTACAGAGGCAATGTCACTGAGCCAAATCACCTCACTGGTGGATACAGTAAAACTTTTTTTGTAAAGAAGACTGAGAAAGAGCAACTGCTTAGGCTGCTATTATCACAGCTGCCTCAAAAGCAAACATGCAAATTTCAGCAGCACCAGTTCCAGGCTAAACTTGCAGTGGAGTTAGCAAACATAACGCCCAAGGAACAGAAGCTTCCTTTGCTTGTATCACGGCTAAAATTGGCCTTCTGTCTTCACAACACTCTTACTCTCACTTTAAGTGTTTTTAAAACTAGACAAAGAAAAATGGGAAGGGGGAAGGATTTAAGGACTGAGATGAGAACAAGGCAGAGGTATCTGGGAAGCTGCAGCAACAGTGAGGGGTGATTCACAACAGGCAGAGCAGTGATGAGAGGACTGAGAGTCCTGACTGCATCAGCCCTGACAGGAGAGAGCTGCGCTGCAGTGGACAGGCAGTGGAGAAGGATGCACGGCCTGAAAGCACGTGCTGGGACAGCAGAGCCCCAGGAGAACGGGTTGTGGAGTCAGGCTGGATGCAACTGCCCCCTGCTAGACACAGGAGAGTTGTAAAGGTGGAGGAGATGAACACGGGCTTTTTAGTGCTTCTCCTTCCCCATCTTGGGAAAACGGGGCCTGTTATGTGCAGGCCACAGGAGCACAGCAGGGAAGGGGGAGCTGCACAGAGCTGTTGGTAGGCAGGGGATTTGGGGAGATTGCAGAGGGCTCACAAAGGAGGAGGGAGAGCAGGAGTACACAAAATGAGTATGGTCAGTGAAAGCAATGCTGTTTATGGCTCTCTTGTATACATATTTGCAGTTTGTACCTGCCAAATGCCCCTGCAACACATCCAATCCCCTGCTCATCCTCCAGCCACCATTCCCCACATCACATCATCACCGAACTGGCCACACTAGGAACAGCTGCTCTCCTCGGCTTACCCCATTCTTGCTGTCCCTTCACTCATCACCATATGTCTATCCTTTGGTCATGGCACTATTTTTTTTTTCCTCTCCTAATTCTGTGTATTCCCAAGCAAACACTCCAAGTAATATGACCTTTAAAAAGGAATCTGAGAACCTGAGCCATGGCCTATTTGTTTCACCCTGCTGCTGACAGTCTCTTGGCACACAACTATACACAATTTGATCTATACATTTTGGACAGTGGCCTCAAGCTGAAGTCAAGAGCAGGCTTATCTTGTCCAGACCGTGAACCCTAGAGCTCACAAGAGCACACACACTCGGGCACCTCGCACAGCCTCTCTGGGAGGCTACCACGTGGGTGGGAGGCAGCATGTGCTGCACTTGCTGTGGTGCCATGCAGCAGCTCCACTCCCGCAGCTATGCTGAGTGTTCAGAGCAGCACAGATGTAGGTAATATTTGTATTGCCAAAATAGCACAGTATCATGTGCTAACTCAAAGATCAACAAAAGATCCTTTATTATCCCTAAATCCCAAACTTATTAAAAAAATAAATTGCTCACTAGGAAATATGAATGAGAGTACACACACATATATG